AGTAGATCTGCCTGTTCTGTTCCCCGCTCTGTCTCTGGTGAATCCTCTCACCCTCCCACGCATCCGGTCTGTGCCCCGGTTCTTGTATAAAATAAATAAATAAATCTTTAAAAAAAAATAATTAATGTAGATTCAGAATTTAGTAAGTGCTAGCCACAATACTAACTTTCTTAAATATATTCTCTAATCTGAAACTAATAGTAGCTCTGTGAAGTGAGAAAGCAAGCTTGTCCATGCTCCTAGTTATTATCAAGAAACTGATAGTACCCCAGCTTGTTTCAGCACCTAGGAAGTTTTAGGCACCACATTGTTCATTCTTATCTCATAAATAGTTCATATTATGTTCAAAATATCTTAAGTGATAAATATTGACTTCAAACTGTCTCTGAGATTTTTACGTTTCTGTTTCAAGTTGTCAAAACCACCATTACAGTATTTCTTTCAAAATTTGAAAGCTTGTCAAGGAATGAAACATATATAATTGTTTTCTAATGCAAGAAATAGAGCTTTTCATCCAATTATAGATCCTCAAAAATTAATATTTAATGTTGAGCATTTCTGTTCTTTACAAAGTCTAGCATATCTATGCTATAAAGACATATGCCTATAAATATTTACTATCATATGGTGATTTGAGCTAAGCTTTAATAAAGAAGTCAGTGTATCTCTTATGTTCCTAACTTACTTTTGCAAGGAATTAATAATAAAGGCAGAAATGATGCACAATTCTCTGTAGAATAGTATGCTATATCTGTTGTTATTAAATATGCTGAGTTATCTTATTAAAATATAAAAAGGATTTTCCCACTTAACAAATATATACCATTATCAGTGATTTCCTCTAAAGTTGCTATTAACATATAGGTCTGCTTGATAGATTTGAAATAATGCATATTTTCCTCAAACTCTTTGTCTACAGTAGCAACATCAACTTTTGATTATGTATACCCTCAGTACAATTTTATATGTGCAGAATACTTTTACCCCCGTCCAGCTAGCAAAGAAGTATGTGACGCTGATAATAGGAAATGGATCTAGGAAGAAAGATTTTTATTAGGTCTTACACATTATACACAGGTTATCATGACTAAATTGAAGAAGAGAAAATATAAGCCACACATATTAAAGAGATGATTGCTTTGCACATGGCATGCAAGCAATAAAAATAAAAGTAACAAATAAGATACTTTAACATTTGACTTGGGTCACAGGATTTGTTCATAGTCTTAAAAATCAGGTAATACGCAGAGGAAGTGTGTTTGTCATGTCTGGCTATCAGAGTTAGAGACAAATTGCATTTGGCTGCTGTTATCAGAGACCTGATTACAGAGGTCTACACATAAAAGGGTTTATTTTTCTTGTGTAACAAGAAATCTAGAAATCGGCAGTTGTTGACATTATTTCAGTAGTTCAGCATATTAGGGCCGAGCCTTTGTGCTTCTCTTAGCCTTTTCATCATGGCCTGTAGATGCTGCCACAGCCCCATCCATCCATGTTTTAGACAGCAGGGATTAGGATGGAACAAGAACAATAAACGATGCCTCCCAACTGACTCAGAAGTTTTTAAAGTGCTTTCCCTCAAACCTCATTCAAGGACTTCTTGGCACCCTTTTTTGTGAAAGAGGCCGGACCATGGAGTCTTACACTGGAAAATTTGCCACTAACCCACAAATAGGAATTTTATTAGTGGTGACACATATGTGGGAGAGACAAGTAGCAATTTCTGCCACTACACCCTAGTAAAATTGCTTCACAGTTGATACAGTGAGAAAACTTAGGTCATTAATAAGTTGTGTTTGCTATTAAATTGTGGACTCGTAATGACAGCATGAGTTCAGTTATTACATGGGTGGGAGTAGTGAGATTTAAAAGTTGGAATTTTCCATCAGTTCATTAAAAAACATTATAAAGAATAAAAAAGGAAATTCATTTAACCAGTTAAATCTAATAATTATAAGCATCAGTTTTAAGATTTAATTAAAGCATTTTAATATTTCTCATACTTACTCTAATGTTATTAGTTAGCCTTTAAAGAAATAGTAATCAAGTCCATAAAAATACTTCCAGGAAGAAATATAAGACTTCAAATCAGTAAAATAACAATCAAATTTGCATGGTATTCCTGTTTTCTAATTTCAACACTAGTCATTGATTTGCATCGTGTATTATTTTCAGAAATGAAATGTTCAAGTTATGACAGATTAATTAATAAAAAGTTATGACAAATACACTTTGAATTTTTTAACTTCATAAACTTTATAATACATTTCTCAACTTTGGATGTTGCTTTGTCATTTGGACTGTAAATAGTGTAACAGTTTAAAAACATAGGGGATAAAACAAGTTATTCAATATAGTGTATATATTTGAAGATTGACTGTGTGATTGATATATTTGAAATACTTTATGGTTATTAATATTTCTGTTTCTTCAAAAATTTAATAATGATATAAAGCCTTAATACACTGTAGGACTAACAATCTATTTGGTCCTTTCTGCAGTAGATAGATGTGATTAAGAATGTAATAATCAAAGTATAATTTCTTTGGAAATCCCAAATAAGTTAATAAGAATAACTTCATTTAATCATCCAAAATGTGCTGTTTACATTATGCAATTGATTAGGTGCCAGAACACTTTTTATTCAGTAAATATGACAACATGCATTTTCATATATTACATTTCACAGATGACAGATGGCTCTAGTGTGTTTAATCTTGGCATAAAATCTAAATTCCTGATTCCAGTGACTGTTCATGTACATGTGTTTGTGAGCAGATGTGTGTGTGCATCAAACAGAAATATGGGTATCCATATCACACATTTTTTTATCACTCTGAAGGAGAAGAAAGTTATAATTATTAACAACAAATCGTTAAAGAAGATAAAACTCAGATTATTTCTTTCTACCAAAAGGGTACCATGAAATGAAGGGCTTCTCAATCTAAAGTAGTTGTTGGAGGGCCTCCCGGGTGGCGCAAGGGGTTAAGCACAGCACTGTGAAGCTATTCACAGCCTCTGCAGCATGAGTTCAATCCCCGGCTGGCCAGGGAGGTGCCCAATGGCTCAGCAGACTTCTGCTGTCTCATCCGTTGCTCCCCTCAGCAATGCATTTCAGTAGATCCACCTGTGCTGTTCCTTCACTCTGTCTCTGGTGAATCTTCTCACCCCCTGCACCTCTGGCCTGTACCCCAGTTCTTGTATGCATAAATGAATAATTTAAAAAAAAATAAAGTAGTTGTTGGAAATAAACCTGTTTTCTAAAATTTTAGTGCTGACTGATCAGTTGGAAGTTATCTGGTGTTCTTCATACTCCCTGGGTAAAAAGTACCATGCAAATAACAGTAGAAATACAGTCTAGAGGTTAGCCGTGTGTATTATTCCTCAACTGCAGTCCAAAGAATGACCCACAGCCAATGTGGAGTAGCAGTACTTCACGTAATTGTGCTGAAGGATATGTGATAAATACCAGGCATCACAAGAGGTCTTTGTGGCCTTTATGGTATGTGTAGCCTATATGTGTGTGACTGAGTGTGACCATACCAGCAAACCTCAAATCCAGCCCAGCTCCCTATTAGAAACACATAAAGTCACACACTGTAGTTTTGTATGTTTCTCTAAGAATAAAGCATATTCACCTCAGTAACTATTCTTCATAAAAAAGTGTCAATTTTCAATAAATGTGACAAATGATAAGGCAAGAAAAAACAAAAATGAAATGAAGCAATAAATAGACCAGATTTAGATACATAACAAGAAATTTTAAAAAACTTGATTAAGATATTGAACAATCCAATATGAAAAAAAAATGTAAGGGCAGGTTGATAAATTTTTCAGAGAGATGGACACTATAGGAAAATATACATTTCCAACCAAATGGAGAAAAATAATGGTTGTACCAGGTTCATTTCATTCAACAACAACAAAAAAAATGGAGAAATTTTTTTTTCTGGTATAGTAACATACAAAAAACAAAGGAGAAAAATAATGATTGTAGCTGGTTCACTTACACAGTTAAGGAAAGAGTTGCTAAAACCACCCACAATGAAACACAGAGCTTAAAAAAGAACATAAGGAAAAGAAACAATAATTAAAAAAAAAAAAAAAACAGAGAGAGAGTCTAGGGACAGTGAGAAAATATCAGTTTTGTGTATGCATAATTAGAATTCTAGGAAAGAAAAATGAGGCAGATAAAGCATTTTAAGAAATATTGCCCAAGAATCTTCTGAAACTCATGACAGATATCAAACCAGACACCAAAGAATCCCAGGGAACATGAAGTAGAATAAATTAAAACACACACACTCACACACTCAGGCATATCTTATTATATTGACACTGCCGTAAAAAAAAATCAGTTAAAAATACTGAAAGAGCTCAGAGAATAAAACACATGTTACTTAAACAGAAACAAGGATAAAAATTACTACTGGCCTCTATAAAAACCCAGATAAACAAAATGTAATAAAGAACCACTTCAGTTGCTGAAATACTAAGGAAATAGGAATCAACCTAGAATTCTATACATTATTAAAATATCCATCTGAAATGTTAAACTCTTTTGGAAAAGGACAAAAAGCCTGAAGATCTCCATTGCCAGCTGATCTAATCTAAAAATCAATTTTAGGGCCTCCCCGGTGGCGCAGCGGTTGAGCGCTGGGTTGCGAAGCTGCCCGCAGCCTCTGCAGCACCAGTTCGATCCCCGGCTGCTCCCCAGCCATTGGAGTTGGGTCCCACATGGTGCGCAGACCTCTTCGATCCCCGGCTGCTCTCCGGCCACTGGAGTTGCATCCCACATGGTGCGCAGACCTCTACTGTTGCCCGCTGCTCCCCTCAGCAGTGTACTTCGGTCCTTCTGCCTGCTCTGCTCCCTGCTCTGGCTCTGGTGAATTCTCTTATCCTCCCGCACTTCTGACTGTATCCAGTGCTTGTATAAATAAATAAAAATAAATCTTTAAAAAAAATAAAATAAAAATCAATTTTAAATGTTTTTCAGGCAGAAAAAACAATGTTGTAAGAAACTTACATCTTCACAAAGAATGCAGAGGAGTGGAAATGGAATAAATTAAGGTAAAACAAAATTTATTTCATTTTTAAAAAATTATAAAAGATAACTGAAACAAATGAATGTGTTATATATTAATAGCATTTATAGTTATATATTAATAGCTTGCATTTACATGACAAAAATATCACATAGACTTAGGAGAGAAATAGGGTTGCCAAGCCTTATATTACACATGAGATGTTATAATATTATTTGAAAGTGAGCAATAAAATATATATATATTTATTAAAACCAAGATAAAACCAACCAACCAGTGTATTTTTTTAATAGTATGAATAATAAGTCATAAAAATGCCTACATCAGAAAACGCAGGAGAAAAGGAGGGGATAAACAAAACACAAAATTAAACCAAAAACAATCACCTTAAATATTAATGTTATAAATATACAAATTGAAGGACATAGATTGCCATATTAGATATATAAAAGCAATAAAAATTAAATATATAGGTGTCTATAAGAAACCCAGTTTAAATATAAATATACTACCATAATAAACATAGTAACTTTAAAAACAGTGAAGATTAAATGTAAAAGGCATGATGATGATGTCTCATATAAACAAATGAAAAGAAAGAGGCAATAGATATATTAATCTTAGATAATATAAACATCAGATAGAGGAGAATTATCAGGCATAAGCAAGGATAGTACATGGAGAAATGAAAGGATCATTTCTCCAAATGTAATTTTAAATCTTTATGTACTTACATGAGGCAAAAAAATAGTATACATTTCTTTTTATTATTATTTTATTTTATTTTTTAAAGATTTATTTATAAATCAAGCACTGGGTACAGTCAGAAGCACAGGAGGGTGAGAGAATTCACCAGAGCCAGAGTGGGGAGCAGAACAGGCAGAAGGGCCAAAGTGCACTGATGAGGGAAGCAGCGGGCAGGAGAGGTCTGCGCGACATGTGGGACCCTTGCCCTTGGCTGGGGATAAAACTGATGCTGCAGAGGCTGCGGCTAGCTTCACAGCCCAGCGCTCAACTGCTGCGCCACTGTGGAAGCCCCAAACACATTTCTTTTTTTTTTTTTTTTTTAATTAATAAATTTTATTTTTATATTCCCCATACAATTGCAATCCCCCCATTCTGACCCCAATCCCTCCCCTCCCGCCCCCACCCCCCAAAAAGTGTCTCTGGTTCATAGTTTTTGTTGATTTTGATTTTCACTTTCTTATAGTTATTCATTTTCCTGGTCCCTTATTTAAGTATTCTAGATTCCTGCTATGAGTGAGACCATCCGGTATTTTTCTTTTTCTTTTTGGCTTATTTCGCTGAGCATGATCCCTTCCAGCGCCATCCAAACACATTTCTTAATAAACCAAGTGTCAAAGTAAAGTTTTGAGGAGAGTGTAAAATTGTCTTGAACTGAATAAAAAGTAAAACACAAGAGACCAAATGTGTGGTTTACAACTAAAGCACTGATTACAATAAAATATAACATAAAATGTTTATATTTGGAAAGAAATATTTCACATCAGTGATCTAATTTTCCATCTTAAGGAAGTAGCAAAAAAAATTGCAAATATGCCTGAAAGTATCCCAAAGGAAAAAAATCATCAAGATTTGAGCAAAAATAAAGTAATTGAAAATAGAAAGCAGGGCCTCCCTGGTGGCACAGGGGTTAAAGTCTTAGCACTATCAAGATGTCACCAGCCACCATGGCATAAGTTTGATCCCAGGACAGGGAGTTAACCCACATGGTGCAACAGACCTCTCCTGCCTCACCAATTGCTCCTCTCAGCAGTGTATTTCAGCAGATCTGCCTGTTCTGCTTTCTACTCTGTCTCTGTCTCACCCCCAACACACACACCTCTGGCTTACACCCAAGTTCTTATATGCATAAATAAATAAAAAAATAAATCTTTAAAAAAATAAAGAAAATAGAAAGAAGTAGAATAAATCAATGAACCCAAAGTCTGGGTGTTAGAAGGTTAAGAAAACTGATAAGTTCTATTCAGTCTGGCAAAAAAAAAAAAAAAAAAGAAAAGAAAACAGAATTTCCTGATTAGAAATGAAGCGAGAACACCTTGTGAAAGACCCCATAAGATGGATTTAATTTTTTAATTGAAGTAATATTGATTTACAACACTGTATGTGAATTATAGGTATGTATATGATTTAGAAGTATAAGGTCACACCCTTCAGGTGTATGTTACCCACAAAATTTGAAAGAAAATAAGGGTATCTTCCTATTCTATATTAATAAGTTCAGCAACTTAATGAATCAAGTCCTTAAAAGACAAAGAATAATGAAAATCAAACACACACAAAAATAGATAACCTTGTTGGTCATTTGTCTATTAAGAAATTGAATTTTTGCGGTGGGCGTGCAAACTGGTCTAGCCACTATGGGCAGCTGTGTGGAGGGTCCTCAGAACACTGAAAATGGGTCTACACATGATCTGGCATTCCACTCCTAGGAATCCACCAAAGGGACAAAAAAAACCCCAGGAAATCTGAACTGCTGTGTTCATTGCAGCCCTATTTATAATAGCCGTGACATGGAAACAACTCAAATGCCAGAAAAAAGATGAATGGATCAAAATGTTGTGGTACAGTTACACCATGGAATATTGCTCAGCAATCAAAAAAGACACATTCATGCCACTGGTGGCGATATAGATGGAGCTGCAAGGGATGATGCTAGCCACAATAAGGCAGGAGAAAGATAAATATCAGGTGGTTTCACTTACATGTGAAAAATAGAGAAACTGAACAAAAGGTAGAGAAAAAGACAACCCTAGCAGGCTGACCAGGACCTGAGGCACCCAGCGGGGAGGGGGAGGGAGGAGGGTGAACAGAGGGGAGGGAAGAGCACAAGGGATTATGGTGATGGGGCACAGGGGCTATTTTGGTGGGAGCACCATGGGGACCACCCCTGAGGGGAGACACCAATAACTAAAAAAATGAACTACGATGCAAGAAAAGAAAAAAGAAAGAGATGGTCTTTAAGGACAGGGAAGACCCTGACAATATAAATAAATAAATGCTCTAAAGGGGGTCTCACCTGAGCACTGCTGGAGGCACTGCCTAGGCATCCCCTCATCAGTTGTTAAAAAAAAAAAGAAATTGAGGGGAGCTCATTCCTGCATCGCCATTTTGCACCAGGGATCTTTCTTGCTGGAGACTGTGTGAACCAGCAGAAGGCTCACCAAGGAGACAGAGGTAAGCTGGGAGGCTTGCCCATGCTGGGCGCCTTCTAGCCTGCAGTTCCAGCCCAGAGGGGAGCAGCACCCACCTCTGGGGCAGACCTGGCGTGCAGGGGAGCGCGTCGCCGGCACCGGCATTTTGCAGCAGGGACCCTTCTTGCTGGAGACTGTGTGAACCCAGCAGAAGGCTCACCGAGGAGACAGAGGTTAAGCTGGGAGGCTTGCCCACACCGGGCACCTTCTAGCCTGCAGTTCCAGCCCAGAGGGGAGCAGCACCCACCGCTGAGGCAGACCGGGCGTGCAGGGGAGCTCGTTCCCGCATCGCCATTTTGCAGCAGGGACCTTTCTTGCTGGAGACTGTGTGCACCAGCAGAAGGCTCACCAAGGAGACAGAGGTAAGCTGGGAGGCTTGCCCATGCTGGGCGCCTTCTAGCCTGCAGTTCCAGCCCAGAGGGGAGCAGCACCCACCGCTGGGGCAGACCAGGCGTGCAGGGGAGCGCGTCGCCGGCACTGGCATTTTGCAGCGGGGACCCTTCTTGCTGGAGACTGTGTGAACCCAGCAGAAGGCTCACCGAGGAGACAGAGCAGGGACCTGTCTTTGCTGGAGACTTGTGAACCCAGCAGAAGTTCCCCAGAGGAGCCAGTGGTGAGCTGGGAAGGTCGCCCAAGATGCCGGCCAGTACCAGCAACACAGTGTCAAAAGGAATACGGCAAATTAGAAAACAGGCAGTAGGGAGTAGAAAAACAACATGCAACCCAGCAACTCCTCAGCAAAATAGCACACCACAAAAAGAAAACCATCTACCAGATTGCAACGACAGTAACTTGGAAGAACTTCTGAGCCTTCCAGATAGAGAATTTAAAATTGCTGTGATTAAAAAACTGACAGAAGTCATAAAGGAAAACAATGATAAGGGGAAAATAATTAATGACCAGAAGAATGAAATTGAGTCCCTAAAGAGGGAAGTAAAAGAAATGCAGGAGATTAATGGAGACGCTAAAGAACTCTGGGAAAAGCAGTGAAAGCAGAATAGATGAAATGGAAGAACGAATAAGTACTCTTGAAGACACAGAAATAAAAAGAACTAAAACAGAAAAGGAAGGAGAAGTACGAAGGAAAAAGACCGAAGAAAGACTTCGGGAACTATCTGACTCCATGAGGAAAGGAAATATAAGAGTTATAGGAATCCCAGAAGGAGAGGAGAGAGATGTAGGAACAGAGAAAATATTCATGGATATAATTGAAGAGAACTTCCCAAACGCTAAGAAGGATCTGAAAATTGATATACAAGAAGCAAGAAGAACACCAAACTTCCATGACGAAAGGAAAAATACAGCAAGACACATAATAGTAAAGCTCCCAAGATCCAAGACAAAGAAAAAATAATGAAACTAACAAGAGGGAAGAAACAGGTAACATTCAAAGGGAAACCAATCAGACTGACATCAGACTTCTCTGAAGAAACACTATGGGCAAGGAGAGAGTGGAGGGACATAGTCAACAGACTCCAAGAAAACAGATGCCAACCAAGAATACTCTATCCCGCAAAGCACTCCTTCCTCTTTGAAGAAAGAATATGGACCTTCCCAGACAAACAGATAATAAATGAAAGAGGAGAAATCACAACGGACACAGCAGAAATCAAAAGAATAATCAGTAGCTACTATGAACAGTTATATGGAAACAAGTTTAACAATCTAGAGGAGATGGACAAATTCCTACAACTCTACAATCACCCAAAGCTAGATAAAGAAGAAATAGAACACCTAAACAGACCAATTACAATTAGCGAAATTGAAATGGTAATCAAAAACCTCCCCAAAAACAAAAGCCCAGGACCTG